TTATATATGGACTTGGTTAATTTGACCAACCTTGTAACCATCATACAAAAATATGCAATTAATGTAATTACTATTTTTTTCTTTCTAGAATGATTGCAGGTTGTTACAGAAATAATTATTTATCCTGAGTATCTTATAGCTCATTCTACCTCTGTTTATACTTAATTTTATTGCCTTTTTAACCATTTCTAACTAATAATCCTGCCACACAAGTTGAAAATTAGTTGGAAATGTGTAACTTATGTTACCGTATTGAATGATGTAACACGAGTTGTTTGCGAGCATACTTTGTGAAATTTTTTTATCATTATTATTATTATTTTAAATGATCTTTTCTATTCTAATCTAATAAGTTTGTAATTTTTACAATTATGATAATTATACTAAGTAATTTTTATTTACTTAAATAATGCACCTAAGAACACAAAATAATAACATGCACAAAGTAAACAATGTCCTATAACTAATATAATTTAACTGGCTTTCTAACTAAGACAAGACAGGCTTAAATCAGTTTCCTTAGCTGCTCAATCTGAACACCACTTTTCAACTGAAGACAAAACTTACAATACTCCGTACTGAAAACAACACAGCATTATATGTCAGAGAGAATTACTGGCAATTTGTGAAAAGGAGGATGTGACAGGTGAAAGTGGTAAGTGGTTCTGATTTTCTAGTATATTATAATGAGTAATTTACATTAAATTCTGTACTTCAGAGAGAGGCGCTTGTGAGCAGCTCACAAGTAGCCTGTGCATTATGTGCTTGGTAGAATAACAAGAGCTCCATGTTTGACAACCGATTTACAAATTTTATGGTGGGAATATTAATTTAGATATGTTTCAAAACTCAATAAAATAATACAATTTAAGTATAAACAGGTGTAGCTTCATGTTACAATGCGAGGTCATTCTAGAAAGAAAAAAAAAGGGGTAATTTATATTTATTTTGAATTTTGGTGGTTACAAGGTTGATCAAATTGACCAAAACAGAGTTAGGGTAAAGAAAGTAACATATAAAATATAAAGTTTTACTGAAAAATAATGCTTTATAATTATTTAGATAGGCTTTAGAGATTACAAAAATGAAATTTGAAAATTTTAAGATAAATAGAACTATTTTTAATCTTAATATAAAAATCACTTTTCACTCAGACTAGTTAACAAAACTAATTGATATGTTCACAGACAAATCTTTATTAAAAAAATCTAATATTTTTTATGCACAATAGTCTGCCAAATTTTGTGGAGATACATGTATTGTATTAAAATTTATAGTATGGAAACTGTAACGAGTACAAAATGGTAATGAACTTGGTTGATTCAACTAAGCCCGTGTGAACAGTGTTAATATTTAAAGTGGAGCCAAAGACTATTCTAAAAACCTATTAAATGAAAAGGTCATTTTAAATATTCTATATTTACTTCTTCTAAATTTCCTCTCTCCATAGTGTCCATTATAGCGGTTTCCCTCTTTGTCACGTTCCTCACGGTGATCTCCTCCCCATCTACTATATCCATAATCCCTCTCAGGATGATCTCTATCTCTATCCCTAGTCGCTATTCGTCCACTACCAATTCGTCGAGTTGGTTCTCTATGAATAATACTAGAACACAGAATTGATAAATGTTAAAATTACTTTTAAGCATATCAATGAAAAGTAGGATACACAAAATAAATTTTCAAAAATGTTAACTAATAAATACTTGTTTCTTCTTTAAGTAAATTTCCAGTAGTAGATTAAATACATCATCAAGAATCAAGGTTAGCAATCAGCTATTACAAGGAGAAATACAAACTGAAAGTAAATACATTCATTAGCTGTACCTGGGTAACAAACTTCAATTACATTACTTTCATTACACACAAAATATTTAGTTACATGGAAAAATATTTCACCTCAATGAGAGTAGACAGATACATTATTTCTGAACAAATGATAATAAGCTGTAATAATTGTAAGTGTAGCAAGTTTGTGTTCTTGAGAAAAGTACAATATAAACATTCACTGAAATGTACAAGTTACATAAAGTAATTCAATATGGAAAATTACTGTTGAAAGTTATGGTTAGTTTATTACCCTTGCCCTCTGAGGGTATTGCAATCAGGTCTGTGTTTGTGTCTGTTTTCATGTGCATGTCTCAAAAAATAATAGATCGATGTAAACAAATATTTTACATAAGATGGGAAGTTAGCATGGGACATTCCTTCCCAGATTTGGTCCAGACCCAAATCTGGATCTATGATTACTTTTGAAGCATTTTATTTTTTTAAATGGAGATATAGGGCATTTTTGCAGTTTTCCATTAATAAATCTGTAAAGGGCAATTGGATTTGTACCAAATTTCATGGGCACATTAAGGTTGAGACTCGTCATCATACTACAAAAAAATATTTGGATCACTTATCGTTCTAGATATGAAAAGGATTTTCTGAATTTTCAAGGGTGAAACTTAACATTATTCAATATAAATGCAGGCATTCTTGAAAAGGAGTGGCAGGGTGAGAGTATGCAATCTCTCTGATTGCTCTTGTTGAATACAGCAGGAGTTATCATTAAGAACCTACTATTCATTTTTCTTACCAAGTCCAAATCAAACTAATGCTATTTTATACTACAGAGGACACATTCCACAATTATTACATTAATATCAATTAAAAAGTGCAAACAAATTGTGCTAAAATTATATTTCTTTTCAAGAAGTCTCTGACAGGTTTCACTTCAGAGATACAGCATATTCCAAAATGAATAATACATGTTCTACAAAAACAAAATATGCATGATGCATAGGCACAAAACCAACAATTGTGCACTTAAACAATACTTTATAAAATAATATGACAGCAGTTGAAACTATAATATATTAGAAATGTGAAATACAAAATTAAAAGCACTTGTTAAATCCCTATCATATAATTTTAACTGTATATTTTAAATACAATTTACATTGTTTATTTGCTAATGGTTCTTTCTAAGTTGGTGTTAACTTACCATAAGTCTTCGAAAATAACACTCACTCCATGGAAAGAAAAAAATGCCATTGCAACATCATTAATTAGGACAAAACCGTTAAAAATTCCATGATTCATTTGGAAAATATTATAAAATTTTAAGACACTTGTTACATGTGCAGGGTTCAAAGTAAGCATTCTCACTAGGGTAAGAGATGAAAAACTTACATCAATCATAGGTTTTTGTATTGATTAATTATTTTGGCAATATCATAAAATTAAAGGCAGTTTTACAGATTAAATCTCGAGCATCAACTTTGGGATGTTTCATTCTTACGATACTCAACTTCAATAGCTAGTCAAAAACAAAATGAAACTTGTATTGTTCAATGTTTGTAATAGTATTAAGTTTATTATTTGACAATAATGATTAAGCCATCAAGCCTAAAGAAATGTAGTAAAAACATTTAAGTAAACAAACTGCTTATTATTTTGTGTGGAATTCTTATTTTCTATTAAAGTTGGATTACGAAAGCAAATGTAAATATTTCATTGTGGAAGAGGGCAGCACTTTTTGATATATATATATAACCATTTCAAACTTATAGTATGAATTTTTGTTAAGGCTAAGTGGTGTGACTGTATTATTAAATACCGTATCTATTTATCAGCAAATTTATTTCTGCATTAAAAAAAGAGAAAGAATTAAAAGAAAAACTTTACAAGTTCCACATTCCCCAAGTAATTTTGAACTTATAATGGCACAAATAGTAGTTAAACATGATTTAAAGGGCAATAAAACAATAAAATTTAATTATCAATAGATGTATACTGTTATGAGTTTAAAGCTACTTAGGATAAACGAATGTAGTTCATGCAACAATTTGAAGTCATTCTAGAAAAAAAAAAGCCAATTTAGATTTATTTGGATTTTTTTTGGTGGTTATGAGGTCGGACAAATTCACCAAACCCACATAGAGTTAGGGTAGCGAAAATAACAGATAAAATATGACATTTTACTGAAAACAAACATTTGAAATGTATTTAGGAGGTTTTAGAGGTTACACAAATGAAATTTGAGATTTTTGAGATGAAGAAAAGTATTTTTAATCTTAACATGAAAATCACTTTGCACACGGACTATTCAAAACAAATAGTAAATACATGCATGGCCAAATCTTTATTTTATTAAAAATACTTCACTAAGAAATATGGTATTTGTATGTGAAACACTTGTAATGTTTACTGAAAAACTGCCAAATTTTGTGAATATATATACACACACTATATTAAAAGTTAGTAGTATGAAATTTATAAAGACTTTGAATGAGTACAAAGAAGTCACATGGTTGGTCAGATTGACCGAGCCCATATTAAGAGTTAAAAAAATCCCAGTGTTCATAAAATGCTTTACCTCATACAGAAAGAGCATTTCCCCCTATAGTACCTGATTCTGCACATACTTTTCATAAATGATCTTTACTGATCAGTAAGCTTGCTTAAGTACACTAGTGTTACAAGTTATATGTTGAATGCACAAAGTAAATTTATAGACAATGCTTCAATTACTGATAACCAAATGTACTTGAAGTTTTCTGTTGAAAATGCACATGCTTAAAAAAAAAGCTAACATATTTGAGTTTTGAACTTTTTGCTAGATATTTTTTTCTTTTGCAATATTCTTTTATGTCATTTTTAAAAATTATGAAAATGCTGATTGTTTAACATAAAAATAACTGAGAAAGCTTAATGGTTTTAACATTTTTGTGATTTACTGTCCCTTACTGCTGGTGAATTTATGTACCTTACTTTCATCAATGAAATGTCAGAAATTCAAAATACATTATATATGTGTATTGTAAAAACATTTTTTGAGAAAATAATATACCATTATATGCACTACTTAAGAGTCTATAGTTGACCCTGTACAATATACGTACTCAATCATGAATACACTGGAAGGTCTGAATGTTGCAGACAAAAAAAGTACAAAAATCTTATTTTATTTGGTGCTGCATCTAATTAATATTGAGAGACTAAATTCAAATATCAAAATTAATTGCAATTACAAATGAAGAGAGGTTGCTGTACATTAATTAAAACTGCATACAAGTTGTTTGCAGGCTTTTATACTGGTTTTAAAAACTAGCTTTGATAACTTCCTCAAAGAAAGGTACTGTCTCCATGCAAGTTGTTTGTTCAAAGTAGTATCTCATGGCAAGGAAAGATCTTTTTCAATGATGATAATGACCAAGCACTGATTTTACACAAAGAACAGATAAACATAAGTGACAGTCCATGACAGGTTAGATGCATAAATAATTGTATATTTTATCAATTAGTAAATTATACTCTGTGAAATATCTTCTTCCTAATATATATGCATAATAATGTAATCTATATTTAAGTAATACAATGGGTTTTAACTATGAACTATGTGCATATGTATGTGTACTTATAGTGTCAGATCACAATGAATAAGCATAACCAATATGGTGACAACTGCATTCAACATTTTAGTCACTAACTGATATAGCTCTTTGAATGCAATAGCTCCCTTGGAATCAAATAAGGTGGGGGTGTACAAATTGTGAATCTTTAACATTATTACATTAAGAACATTTATTTCAGTTTTCTCAAAGTTCAATCCTGTCTGCAAAAAATGTTGAATAACAAAGTTATATATATTTAAAACCTTTCTAATTTCAAAAGCCAAATTTGGTAAGCTTTTAGTATTTTGAAGAAGAAGAAGGAAAAAAAAAGAGAAAGGAGAAGAAAGAAAGAATTTTTAATAAGGTATTTCTAATAAAGATTTCTCTGAATTTACAGAGTTAGTTTGAAAAGTCTGAGGTCTGAATGCAAGGTGATTTTCCTTACAAAAAATACAAATACTTCTTTTCATCTGAATGTTCATATTTAATTTGCATAACTTCTACAACCTCCTAAATCAACATCAAAAGTTTTTCTAGGGTAAAAGTTTGTACTTTACCTGCTATTTTCTCTACCTAACACTAACTATACCTAAATAATCAATCAATGTAGAGTGAAACTAAAATGAAAATTATCCTTTCCTTCTTGCTTCAGTAATCAATATGATTTCAAAATTGGATTTTACATTATTCACAATTTCTTCTGCTTACTCTTTTCACACATTTCATTTTTAATTTCATAGTTTTATTACCTGGCTCATATGATGTTTGTTTTTTCTCATGCTGTAAGAGCGACACTTCACCAATATTGATAAGCTAGAATATAAAATAAGAACTTCATATCTTTTCTATTTGCTGAGATATTGTTCATGTACTAAATCAAACACAGTGGTGCCCCTTCCACCTCTTTCCATTTTTGGAAACAGACTCTTATATACACTTACTTTAGTATGAGATGTGATTAACCAATCGAAAACTCAGAATATCCCCTAGTGGCTTTCTCAAGTATTTTTAAGTGTTAGAATGCCATCTCGTTCTTTTGAACCAAGATTTCAAGGAGGTAGGTCGTGTATTTAGTGCTTGAAATTTCATATTTTAGACCGAAATACAGTTTAGTTACTAAGCTTGATAACTTATAGTGGAATTCTATGGTATTGATATAGTAACTTGTGATTTTTTGGTTATTCAACTGTGTATATAAAACCTAAAAAAATTATTTCATTTCATATCCCCCATGTGCAAAATTTCTTAAGGCGTAGCAACCTACGCCAAGCAGCAACTGAGTACAAAGGTAGTAACTAGAAGAGATAATTGTGTGCTTTACTTTTTTATTTTTTGTTCTATGTTTTAAGAAAAATAAGTTTAAGAATTTATTTCTAAATAGTAATAATCTATAAACATATATAATGTATAATAATTGAAATGTGACTGTATTTTACAAATTATTAGTCTACTAAAACACAGCCAAGACAGGTCACTTTGTAAAGATTGAAGGTCAGTTTTATTTTATTGGATACGGTAACATGAGTGCACGTGTGCTACATCATTGTAACTTCTGTATTGTTAGCCAGGCACAGCTAAATGGTCAATATAATAAGAATAATAAATATATATAAATGTATAATGTTATGAGATTTAAGCTATTTAGTTTAAACATTTATGTATTCATGTTATAATCTGTTGTCATTCTAGAAAGAAAGAGGCATGATTTATATTTATTTCCTAATTTTTTATGGTGATTATGAGATTGGTAAAATCTATTGAACCTGTACAGAGATTCATTACTGAAAATAACTGATAAAATATAAAGTTTTTTCTGAAGAAATGTTTGATAACTATCAGGACATTATAAAGATTTTGCAAGTGAAAGTTAGAAAATTTTCTGATGCATAAAAGTATTTTTAATCTTAAAATGAAAATTACTTTGCATGTTGGACAGGCAACATGTGAAAAGAAAAACAAAAAGGCATGAGAAAAACATTGCTTAACAAACCTAAAGACTTGATAAAAAATTTGATATCTTGTGTATGATAATTTGCCAAATTTCATTAACATGCGTTTACTAATTTAAAAGTTATAGCATGAAAACTATAACAAGTACAAAATGGTTACAAGGTCAGTCACAGGGACCTAGCCCGTGCTGAAAGAGTTAATATAAATAAATGAAATTAAAAACCTTTCTAGCTCATGAGGATCTGCAGGACTGCTGGCTTTTCTTGCTAAAGACGATTGTTGGTTGACGTGACAGCCTGTTCGAAAACTTCTCCGCTGAGGACTCAGAATTATGTCATCTCGCTCTTCTTTGATACGTTCTCTTGGACCTGAAGGTCGACGTTTTGGAGGGATATTACTATCACGGTCTAGTTCTGCAGACCTCTTAGGTTGAAAATCATCTGATGGAGGAAATTCTTCATTACGGAGACTAGCAAACCAGTTCAATGGGTCCCACAAACCAGATGAGCTAAAGAAAAGGTAAATACATCTTTTTTTTTATATGCACTTGCTTATATTTTAGATATATGTTCCCAAATACCAAACAACTTTAAAATAACTATGCAAACTAAACAAAAATATATCCAAAACCACCACTCTCCTTGACAATTTTTAAGACAAATGCAGTAATAAGCTTGTTTTAATTGAATTCTTTATGGCATCTATTTGCTGATTTTATCTTGGGTTATCACTTTGTTCGGATGTAACCATTACCAGAGAATAAAAAAATGTGAATGAAATTAAACTTTAGTTCTCCCACACACTTAAACAAAACAAAAAAACTTCAGATTTCAAACTTATTCAATAAAAGCCTTATTTATTTAATTTTATCCACAATTTTTTAAAAACTGCCAATCTTAGTTTCAGTTATTTCGGTTTACTTTAAACAAAAACAGAAGTTAAGTTAAAATAGCTTTAACTCTTTCAGAATAGCCATCATTTTGTCAAGAGATTTTAGTGAGTTACATTTAAAATGTAATTAAACAACTTTCTTATCATGGTATATAAGTAAACTTGACAAATAAACAACAACAAAAAACATAGCTAACAATCCAAATTTTAACATTATATAAGTTTTAAGTTCTTAATTTTACAAGGCAATATTTAAAAATAAAAAATCCTCAAGTTTCCCTACTGTTAGAATTGTGACATTTGCTCTCTAGGTATCCTCTCTTTTCTAATTTATTTAATACACCTACAAGAAGTACGAAATTTAAAGTAAATTAATGATTAAAATGTCATTACTTAGGCAAAGCATCATTTTTATAGCCTTCAATCTTATTTGGTTACATAGCCATAAAACCTAAAATCAGACAGACTTGCTATGCTCACAAGTCACATTCTTTCTTTCAGAAATTGCCAATAGGTCTCTCTGACATTTAATACTATATTATTTATAATGTATAGAAAGTAAAGGTTTTAATCTGTCAAAAATTATATTACATTGTTTTCTGTATAGAGAATAGTTTATTTTGCTTCCAGTTTAAACTTTATACCCATCGACAAGCATAATGGAATTTTTAATAGCTCTTGTCATATAGTTAGAAAGCCAGAAAAAACTGAGATAGTTATTGGACATTGTTTGCTTTTTGCATGTTATTATTCTGTGTTATTTGGTGCATTATCTAACTGAATAAAAAATTACTTAGTACAGTAGTACCATTAGTATAAAAAAATATGGTTAACCAAACAAAATTGAAGGCTATAAACATTAGGGTTTGTTTGAACAGTGACAATTCTATAGAGAGTAATTTACGTTTAATTTCATACACTTTCATGGGGTGGTGGATAAAATAGAAAAGACAAGATGCCTAGAGAAAACATGTCATGAGTGTCACACTAAGGGAAATTCAGGATTTTTTAAAATATTGTGTTGTAGAATTAGGAACTTAAAATGTATATACTATTAAAATATGGATTATTAGCTATGATTTTATGCTATACTAATTGCTATTACATAAACAAAAAGTAGTTTAATAAAATTTTGAATGTAAGACACTAAAACTTTCTGTCATGCATATTAAAGGATACCTGGGGCGAAAGGGTTAAACTCAACCATATCAAGTTTTATTTAACAGACAAAGCTCCTAGTTGTTAAGCCATGTTTATACTTTAAGCCATTTACATCATTATCTATAACTGGGTGAAAGTTATCAACATCACAAATAAATGAAGTAAAAAAATATTAAATCTTAACTTTTAACTAAATGTATGGAAAGACAAAACATTCAACAATAAAAATAAATGTAAAGAAAACCTATAAACCATAACTGGTGTATAATTTGCATATTAAAATAATATTAAAAAAGCATTGAAGATAGTCCATACCTGATCTTAAAACTATGGAACTGAAAGAATTTACTGAAAATGAATGCAAAGTGGGAGATAGATATTTTTAATAGTATGTTAAAAAAATTCACAATAAAATTTCTTTGCAGTCTGATAGCTGCAAATTCATACAAAAATAAAGTATTTTATTTTGCAGAAACTACACATTCTGTAGAAAGTTCAACTCAAGTTACAAACAATTCAATTCAGTATTTTTGTTGCACTGCAATAATACAAACTATGCAATAGATGCATCAAATTGATACACCAGACTTTTAAGACTTAAAACTTCCTCACGGCTGATGATACTAAGCCAATGCTTTTACTTTCTTAGTTGTGTAATTTTTTAAACTGAATAGAAGATTCTTAATATACTTTAAGCAACGTGGGAATGTACTTTTTTTACTTGAAATCAAGCTAAGTATTGAGAAAATATTAACAATTATTCTCCTAAAAATTTTTTAAGCATTTTTTAAAGTGATATTCAGTTATGAAAATCAAAAAAGTTTGAGCTTCTCTATTTTCCAAGTCAAGAAGAACTTTTTTTGTCAATTTTTAGAAAATTCCTGGTTAGGATTTTTTTTTCCCATAAAATTAACATTACTCAGCTGAACTTATGTAATGACTAGTGTTTTGTTTTTGTGCTTGTTTATAATTTTGTGTTCCCTGGAGCTTTTTCAGTGTTTAATATTACAAATGAAACTAGGGAGAAAATTGGTTGAAAAAAAAAAAACCCTAAGTAGTATTGCCTAGGAAACAACTATAATACTGTTTACTTTATGAAATAGAAAATAAAAGAACTTCCTCAAAACATAATTTTTAGATTTATATTAACAGCTAACCATTCATTCTTTTTTATACGAGTCTCAATAAGTTTTAAAAAGCAAGAGGCAGGTGTGCTCTTCTTTATAATACAAACATCAAATCTTCATAGCCCTACTAATAGTTTTTAAAATGTGCACCAGAGATAGCAAGACTAAGTGAAACAAAAGTGTAAAATAGTAAATGATAATCTGAATAAAAACAAACAAATAAACAACAAAGAACCTTGCCATAACCAAAAATTTAAGAGCTGTTTATCTAACCACTATAAATCAGTGGGTAACAATACATTACATAATAGCATCAGGTATGGAAGGTAAGAAATACATAATCCACTACACAAAAGAATTAACAGAGCATTGACATCACATCATTCCCCTACTCTTCTTTTCATAAAATATTAGTTTTTTTTTCTATACGCACTTCACACTACTTATTTGTAAACTGTATTCATATTTATCAAAAATGCAAAATGATGAAAGCGATTTACTAAACCACGTGATTTTTTTTTTTATTAGTGCACTTTAAAAAATCAATCCAAATAGATTCATTTTTGATTCTTTACTATACTACAGTAAAACAATTTCACCTTGTATTAAATGTAAGTTTCTAAATTTAGTTATTGCAAAACTTGAAGCAAATGGATTCTCACATTGGTCTTCATCACAGCATGAGCTTAGAGATTAGGAAGAGGGCTTTTTGAAACAGCTGTACATAATTTGTAAAAGTAGTATAAACACAACATTTATAAACAAGATATAGTAAAAATATATATACTATCTATTTATATTAGTTTTAATAATATACAAGATTTTGTTGCAGAATTTAACAAAGTGCACTGGTAAATGACATGAAACGTGACTTTCAGGTCAAACATTACAGATGGATTGTGTGACAGTAAAGTATGCAACTATGACATGGTTTTTATCTAATTATAAATCTTAAATTTACCAAAATTAAAATAAAATTTAGGTTCAAAAATGTTCAATGGTTGTATTTTTTTATATTTAAAGTATCAGTATTTCAGATATGGTGACACTTATTATTTAATAATTTTCATGAATGCAAATGCAGATATGGCAATATACTAACACTGATCTGGAAAAAGTTAAAAGTTTTGAATATATTACATCCCAAACATTTCTCCAAATTCTACATTATTGCAATAAATTATATCCCTTTTGGTGGTGGGAAATTTGTTTGATTTTGCACAAATCTACTTGAGGTCTATTGGCACTAGCTATCTATAATAATAACAATGATAAAATACAGATAAAAAAAAACTAGTACATTTATCTACTATAGATATACAATATAAAAATGGAAATTACTTGTAGTGTTCCACATTCAAAAACTCTGGTCTTTTCTTGGCACTTTCAGATAGTGAGATTTCTAGGAGTTGATCCTACAAAAAAACAATGAAAGTTAAAACACAGAAAATATATTACATTTCCAAATATTTAGATTAAAGACATCTGCAATACTTAATATTAGAGTAGGGTAGTAGAATTAATTACCTATGAGCACTGAATTAAAATTAGTGTGGCATAAAATAACTGATTAATCAAAATTATGCTTTAACCTATTAATGTCATAAAAATAATCATCTACATTTGCAGTTCTCAATTATTTCAACTATCCAATAATTGAAATAGGTGTTTCTGATTATTCAAACTATCTAGTAATTTAAATATTGTCATTATGATATTTCATTATTATTTTTGATCAACTCATACTTGTTCAGCGATTACTGTCATATCCATACTGATATTTTCAGTTGTTCCAACCATAGAAGTAATCAAAATGTTGCATAATTTAGGTTTGTTGTTAAGCACAAAGTTACACAATGAGCTGTCTGTGCTCTGCCTACAGTGGTTATCAAAACCTGATTTTTTAGTGTTACAAGTTTATTTTTAGCCACCTTGCATCTTTATTATGTTGACCACTAATCATTTTGCATTTGTTTTCTACCCACAGTTTATATGATAATGATCTTTTTTTAAGTGCTTCTTTTTAGGGTACATTTAATTTTAAATTTATTTATTTTTTATATCTTTTGAAACTGTCATTTTAGAAAGGTGATTGTAATTGTCATCTAACCCCTAGTTAAAAAGGTTTTTTTAACTTAAGTATTGACTCAAGGCACAATATGTATCTTTTCTTAATTGCTTAGTATGTTCAATTGCTCATCACAAGTAAATTACATTTATATTAAGTAGATCTGGGCAATTAGTGGAATTTGCTAATCAATTATTCACACATATACACCATTCTGAACAAAAAAGTCATTACTTTTAAAACATGACTTTATAAGTTATAATACAAAAACTGGTAAAATCAATTCTACAGTTACTCTTAAGAAATCTTACTATGGTACTAACCTTGGCTTAATCTGGATATACAAGATGGGATTTATTAAGGTGGAACATACATAGTACATACAAGATAATATTTAAAATCAAGGACAAATTCTCCTTCAAATTAATGAGGTTTCTTAAAATTACTAACACAGAATGTGACAAAAAAAAGTAATGATAAATCCATGAATCCGAATACAAATCAATTATGATACAAAACTCTTATGTTTCTCATAACCAATTGGCTCTTATTGAATACTTTTTAGTAATCTTAATAAACTTTTACTTGCAAAGTAGGTAAAAGAAAAGTTTCATTTCAATTGTATTATGTGATAACTTAAAGCCAATTTATTATATATTAAGTACAGAAGGTCAAAGTTAAATTAGTTTACCTTGCTTTAATTGTGAAAAGAAAGGTGAACAATAAATGCAAAAAAGTAAAACATTTTTGTAACATGTGGCTGAAGAAGAAGTGAATATATGTTGGTATATCATTGTTTTCCAGAGTTTTTAATGTCATTAACATAAGATAAAGTCTACAAACTCAGCTGATTTCTGTACTTATCAATGCTCCTTATCTGTAAGCAATCTTAACTGTCTACTCAACTTGTTTTATGGTGCTATCTTTGAAAATATAAAAAACAACAACATAGTACTATGTAGCACTGAATGTCCATAGTCATTTGATGAAATATGTAGTTTTATTTATTAGAACTCTTGAATATTACTAGATTAGCTAGCCAGTTGGCTACCAAGATATGAATATCGACTTTGAACAATGGACTTAGTTGATGATTGTTATCAGTGGCATTAAGTGTAATTCAGTGGTAAACTTTGTTCGTCGATTATAAAGAGCAATTTAAAGTGCAAAAAAACCTTCACAGAATTACTTCACAGTAGTTGGTAATTTTAATGTAATGTTAAAAATTATTTATCATCATAATTTTACTTGATGGTAAAAGGAAAGCAACATTTACTATTCAAATAAGCATGTTTAAGACCACAAGAACTTGCAATTACCTTTGACGCCTAATGAACCTAATATTGAATATTGCAGCCATACTTTACTCAACAACAAGCTATTCATGAGTGTTATCAAACTAGAAACTTATAGAACATTAGTGATCATGGTGCTGAAAACTCACACTACACTACCATCGTATTCAATAGTTACTGATAAAGGGCTTGTTCACACAGGTGAAGAAAGCACACCCACAATATAAATTACCAAGCAAAACTTGTTTTTCTGAAACAACTGTGCCAGTTATACATGGAAAATGCAAAAATGTATTTCAGATTTCAAACGTCAGATATTTTGTAAAATTAAAATGTCAAGCATTTTCCTTAAGTGACACAACAAGAAATACTGAAAGATCTAATGAATCCACAGGGGTAAAAAAAACATCACCTCATAATAGGCAATGAAGAAAATGTTGTGAAAGCTTTCAATAATGCTAAATTATCAAGTAAATCATTTTCCTCCACATATTACAATTAATGATTATGAATGCACTAGATCCCCAGATTTAAATTACTTGTTTCTAGCATGTTCAAAATGAATGGCTATAATGATTTAAATATGCTTCAAAAGAATCTTGCACAAGATGTACAGAAAAAGATATAATTCTACACACTATCTCCTTTGAAACAAACATAGCAATATTCGGTGTTGCTGACAACAG